GGTCACTAAAAACACTAAAACTTTTATTTTTATAAAATTGTTTTATTTTGAAAGTCCACCTTCAGTTTCCTCCTGGCGTTGAACTTCTTCAGACACTCAACCGTTTCCTGTCTGTGCATGCAGGACGCCACTGTGGATCGGTGCTGGGAGGAAGAAGAACATCATCATCATCGTGAGGAGCAGAGCAGGACAGAGAACAAGGTCAAAGGTCAAAGGTGAGAGGGCCTCACAGAGATCCAGGGGTGTTTGAGCGCCTCGGCAGCTGTGATGCGTTTGGCCGGGTTGATGGTCAGCATCTTATTGATGAGATCTTTGGCTTCAGGAGTCACCGTGTCCCACTCCGGGGAAGGAAACTAGGAAGCAAGGACACAGGGAGAGGAGGCAAGGAGAGGACGAGTTTAAATTAGAACAACTGTAATAACAAAGGTGTTAAAGCCCCGCCCACAATGGTTAAACTGTCAATAAAGTACAGGTGAACAGTCGTGATGTCATGTGACCTACATCATAGGCGCCAGCTTTGATCTGCTGGTACAGACGATGCTGATCTTCATCCCAGAATGGAGGATAACCGACCAATAGGATGTAGAGAATCACACCTGAGACAGAAGACCATAAAAAATTAAATAAATACACCTGACAAAAATAAAATGCAATAAAATATTTTAAAAAATCCACAGAAAGAAAAACCATAAAAGCTAAAAAAGAAGTGGAAGAAGGAATGAATGTGAAAGATAAAAGAGACAAAAATGTCCTCAGAGACTGAAAATAAAGAAAGTACAAACACTAAACGTGAAAACAACACCCTGGACATAAACCCTGAGTAAAAAATAAACAAACTGCACATGAGTGGAGGAAACATAAAGAAAGAAGAAACGGTAGAAACGGGAAGTAGAGACTCACCACAGGCCCAGAGGTCGACTGCTTTCCCGTATGGGTCCTTCCTGAGGACCTCTGGAGACAGATAACCTGGAGTCCCCGCAAAGCCTGAAAACAAACACATGTTTACACACAGTTGCTGCTTTGGAAGACCCTTGTTTATGTGACAAAGCGGCACAAATAAAAAATTTGGATTAATGAAGACCATCATCATCACCATCACCACAGTCACCATCATCATCGTCACATCATCATCACTATCATCATCGTCACCATAATCATCATCACCATAATCATCATCATCACCTTCATCATTGTCACCATAATCATCATCATCACCTTCATCATCGTCACCATAATCATCATCACCACAGTCACCATCATCATCACCATCACCACAGTCACCATCATCACCTTCATCATCGTCACCATAATCATCATCACCATAATCATCATCATCACCATCATCGTCAACATCATCAGCATTAGCATCATCACCATCACCACAGTCACCATCATCACCATAATCATCATCATCACCTTCATTATCGTCACCATAATCATCATCATCACCATCAGCATGGTCACCATCATCATCACTATCATCATCATTGTCATCATCATTATCAAAACAATCATCACCATCATCATCATCACCATCACTTGGTGCTCTTACCGAACCATGCCTGCTGGTCTCCTTCCACCTCAATGGCGAGGCCAAAGTCGGCGAGTTTCACCGCCGCTCCTTTGGACTTGGAGGCCAGGAGGAGGTTCTCAGGCTGCAGACACAACAGACATGCTAACACGCTAACTCTAACTGCACTGGTTTGCACGAAAG